TGAAGGACTCGACAATGTTCCTCCCGAATTCCCGACATGGTCGGCCAATAGGAATGATTTCAACTAAAATCTCTGAAGTTCAATAACAATGCCTCCAAGAGGGCGTCTGCTCCACCACCGCCCAAGTTCTGCCACACACAAAGGAAACATTGCACACATAATCAATCATGTTCAATCAAATGAAGCTTCCACGAGAAAATTCGGAGTGGCCAAGTGTAACATTTGACAAGCGTAATTGTCAGTGCAACAGTCCTTCCGGAGCGAAAACGGTCGTCAGGTAAAGCAGAGCTGTAAAAATGTGTGGCAGGCTGCTTCTTGGAGCGCTGGGCGGTAGGTCCGATAGGTGTTAATGTTAGGAAGTTGTTTTTTCATCGCCACATTGGGGAAATGTGACACTCTGCTGCGATCTTCGGGATCTGAAAGGTGTTTTCAGGGCGAAAGTTGGTGGAGGGGGAAGTCCGCCATGGAGTTCTATTGGGAAACAAACTTTCCAAAAGCACTGCCAGGCTTGCCCAAGCGTGAAAAGTAGCCCAAAGTCGGAATTATCTAGGAAAACATACAGTACGTCAAAGTAGAATGTTGGGGGAGTAGAGGTTTCTACCAAAAAAGTAAATTGCTCGAGGAGGAATCAAGAGCAGAAGTTTCTAGAGACAAGAAGCGATGTCCAAAAAATAGAAGCTTGTAGAGAAGCGCAACCAAAAACAAAACAAACATGCAAAAGTCATCAAAAGTCCAAAATAGAGATTTGTTCCTAGACAGAAGTATCCAGTAGAGATTTCAAGATGAAGCTGGAGTTCCTGGTCTAACATGGATTCCGCTAGCCGCAAATCCTTTTCGCCAGAAGTAGCCCAAATGTCGACCGATGGTGAAGTTGTGGAGTTGTTATGTTTCTCGATGTGAATTGGTATTCAAGAATAGGAGAGAAGGCTTCCAGTACTAAAAACGCATTTCAAGAGAAAAGATATACTGTACACTCTAGAGGTCTTCAAAGAAAAGTACAAGTACTAGAGGTCAAAAAGTAGAGATGTGTAGAAAAATGCATCCAAAGGATGCCCAAAGAAGCATCCACAAATCACCACAAAACCCTCCACATCACAAATCGCCGCGGTGCGCTTCACATCACAAGCCATCAGCACATAACATCACGTGCCCTTTGTTCCTAGTAGCGTCCCTGTTCCTAGTAGTAAGGCCAGGAGCCCCTAGTAGCGTCCTTGCTCCTAGTAGCGATGCCCTTTGTTCCTGGTAGCGTCCTTGCTCCTCCCTGTTCATCAAATAAGTCATAATCTTTATAGTCTATTTACTTTGAAATTTCCGCCCACCGGCTGTGCCGTTTCGAGTATATACACTCACCTAGGTGTCCTATCCCTCCACGTCCATCTTCATGACGTTGACAATTGTGGAGAGTGGCAGCGTTTCAACGTGGTGCCAAACGGAGTGAAACATGTTTTCAAACGTGTGACAACACGTTTTAATCACCATGAGATCTGCTCCTGAAACCTCGAGTCATCACCGCCGCGGAGGCTCCAGCCTGCAAAAGAACAAGAACATATCTCAAGGGCATTGCAGAACATATCTCTGTGTTGCTCAAGTGACATGTCTTCTTCCAAGAACGGGACAATGCGGAGCACCACAGAAGCTTTTTTTGGTTTGGTTGCAAGGGCATGGCCTAGTGTATAGCATACAACACATGTACTGCATAGACGTATATACATATATATGAGATAGAGAGAGAGAGAGAGAGAGACCTTTAGCCTTTAGCGTTCATTTCGCACGGAAAATATGGACAATACGTTTAGGCATTTAAAAACATGAAAAACGAAAAGGCTGGAAATTAGAACTGTTGTTAATGCTCTTGATTCCGTGGACTGGTCTGGAGCTCTAGGGCATGGGACTATTGCGTTGAATGTGTTTTTGCTTTTAAATCAGTGGTGCAATTAAGAAACCTTAAAAACAATTCAAATTTCTAGCCCTTTTGTTTTCTAATACTCTAATATGTGTTAATGATGTGCGAATATTTGGAACTCTGCGAAGTTGGGGATTAAAACGTTTAGTGCTTTAAGTGTGCTTAATGTGTTTAATGGCTGTATAAATCAGTGGTGTAAATAAGAACAAGAACAACATAAGGGCTGGGGATTCAAATTGCGTTTAATGCTCAGCACATGCACACTTCTTCTCTTGCTTTGCTAGTAGTTTGTGCTCTCAAGGACTTTCTTCTACTTTATCCCTTCGGATTTATCAGTTGCTTTTTTGGATAGTCTAAGAACATATTTCTGCTATGGTTGGCCACTGCGCCATAATTGCCGTTGAATGTTTTCCCTTGGTCTTGATACATCTTCTGCATAGCACCCCTCTGCATCCACTACGCATAAATGTTCCTGGTTGTTGGACCTACTTCTCTGCAGGTTTGATGGGTAAAGGCTTTGTTGTGTTCGCATATATCTCACTTCCATCGCTCCATCCAAAATTTGTGTCAATTATATTTAGCAGTGGCATGTTCTGAAAGATCATGCACTTATATTATAATATCACAATAGTTTTGAAACTCAATGCAATGGTCAGCATAAGTCGCACAAGACATGACATGACGTTTTGTTTTTTCATGTGCTTTGTGTCATCAGTTGCCACAACAAACATAACAGAATTCGACAAACTAAATTCCGTCAACCAACGCCTACTGAGCTACTGCGAAGTTGCAAAAGTAAAGGAGCACCGCAGAGCACCCCTTCACTTCAGAGATTAATGTTGGGAATAATATGGCAAACATTGATTGATATCACGCGCTTGGTTCCTTATTCTCAGGCCTGATTGCTCTCAAACCTCGTTCCTTAGTGTCAAAACAAAATGCTTATTCTCAGAGGCCTAATTGCTTAAACACACGGGCAGCGAATACAAACTGCTCTGTAATTGCTTCTGTAACTGCACAGAAACAAATAGCATTGTTTACACCAGTCCCCTGTGTTTAATAAGCAATTAAAAAAGGCCATTAGGCCTGAAATAAGCAAAAATGCCTGAGAACGTAGGCATGCAAACTATATATATATAATAAGTTAATGATGAATTTGAGGGTGATAATGAAGGATGTATCAAATCTCCCGTTTGTTTCATGTGTGAGAATTGGTGAAGCCCACCGGCTTTGTTCTGTAGTTTGCCCCAAGCCAAATCCTATTTGCACCCCTTGCCATCTAGAACATTTCATCTGCCACACAGCGGCTCATTAACCATACAGTCGCAGTCCAGCCAATAAAAGCCAAACATGCGTGTATCACCCATATTCTGGAGCTTGGCACCAACGCCAAAGCTTATTTGCACCCCTAATTAATTGTTTATTCATGCGTGGGGTTGCAACTTAACATGACCCACATTGTGCTGATAGATGTCACCAAACACTACCACATTGAAGCCTGTACTCACACTTCTCTATCTTTTCATCACCAATGAAGTTCATGGACACGCATTCAGGTACACTTTTCTCCTAACTGATTGCTATGTACTGCAGGTATACAGTAACGTTGTAGTTTCTCTCCGGTGAATGCTTACTAACGAAACCCTTTCCTGTAAATGCTGCATCACCTCCAATTAACGGTCTGTTGTTCAAAATATGCTGGTCAATGATCTCAGCTGTGTTTCATTCATCCTTCACCAAGACCATTCCTAAAGGCCAACAAAACACAAAAAAATGAGTTTGTCAACAGCAAAAACATCAGTCTCAACTGGAAACAAAATCATATTTTTCAGCTTACCCAGCAATGCAACATCAATAAGAAGGAATCGTTATGTGTTATAAGAATCCTTCTCTTTATCATCAGCTAGTCGCAAGTCCAAAATTCAGCAATCAGTCGTTTGCAGTTACTTGTAACCCTATATACAAGTTGCAGTGACTTCCTGCAACGGCACCAGCACCCAAGCTCCAAAGCGCATAGGGCCACAAACCTGGCAGTGGCACCCTGCAGCGGCACGGCACCCAGGCTCCAAAGCCTACACAGGCACCTCTTCGGGGAGAAAGCTATAATAGCATCTATTGTGAGCTCCAAAACGAGCTAAGTACGAACCCCAAGCCATAATGAGCGCAAAAGCAAGCATTTGAAGTCAGAGTTTGATGAGCGGTGTTTTTGGTTGCACAGGACCACCAAACTAAACCTCGACCTTGTTTCCCCGTAGGTAACCGGCCAACTGTGAAGGCGCCAGCAGGGCGCCTGAGTAGTACGCCTGCGTGGAAACGTAAAGCTATCAACTTGCGCTGGGGGGCGCTTAACGTTCGAACTCTTCACTGTCACATTGCAAACTCTGGGGGCGCTCTCGAACTTTCTGGAGCTGATCCAACCAAACCGTTTTCTCTTTGTGATACTTTCCGACAACACGGCTTCTCGTTACGCGCACTATCCGAAACCCGTTGGAAGGGCGAAGGCACTTTTGAAGCTGATGAATATACCTACATTTTCTCCGGCCTCCCCCCAGATTCCCAGAGATCTACTCAAGGTGTGGCCATTGTTTTAGATCCCCAAATGAAGGCGGCTTGGGAAAGGGCAGGGTGCACAGTCGACTGTTTTGGGGGCCGACTCCTCCGGATACAATTGGAGATCGCTCGCCGTCGTTTTAATGTCATCGCCGTGTATGCTCCTACTTTTCGGGAACCCGATGAAGTTAAGGCTCGGTTCTATACCCAGCTTTCCTCCTTGGTGGCTAAGGGTCGCCCCCACGATGAATTAATCATTTTAGGTGACTTTAACGCTCGTGTGGGTATCCGGGACCTCGCGGTTTCTGACCCCCTCTCCACTTCCCCTGACCTGGTCCTTGGTCCCTTTGGCCTTCCGGAACTCAACGATAATGGACGACTCCTTCTCGATTTCTGTCTTGCCCGCGGGACCCATCCCCTTCGGATTATGAGTACCTTCTATCAGCACAGACACTACGGCACTTGGATGCATAATAAAACCATTTTTCAGATCGACCACGTCATCGCAAGTTCTCGCTCCGCTCAGCTGTTCACCGACGTAAAGTGTATGCCAGGCATTGACTGTGATAGCGACCATCGGCTCCTCTCTGTCCACATTCGTATCACAACTCCAGGTCAGCATCCGTGGGGCCGCTCGCGGCCGTTGGACAACTTGTCTCGAGTGCCCCGTTTGAATGTGGCACGGCTCCAGAACCCCGACGTTGCTCAGGCCTTCAACGAGGCAGTTTTCGATCTCGTCCGCGATGATTTGGCCTCCGACCTGAGCCTCTGGCAGTACGCCGTCCGGCGTGCTGCCGAGCATGTTTGCGGACCTTCCATCCGTCATCGGCGACCCCTGTGGCAGGTGGAGAATTCGGCAGCTCTGCAAAAGCTGGCTGTCACGAAACAGCAAGCCTTTCTGGGCCTTGATGGGTCTGCCTCCTCCTTTCATCATTATCGATCGGTAAAGAAGGCCTGCCGTCGGGAGGTACGAGTCATCCTTAACCGTTGGTGGAGTGACCGGGCGGCCGCTATACAGCTAGAAGTTGACACTAAGACTCCGAATCACCAGTTCGCAGGCTTCAAGGAATTGCGTCAGGTGTTCGCGCCTGGACACCGGCCGGCGTCTAAATTGAAGGGGCGTGATGGCTCTCTTCTGCGCACGCGAGCTGAACGTGTGACACGGTGGGAAGGGCACTTCCGGGACTTACTCAACGTTGAGGCACGGGTTGACCCCACCCTTCTTGACTCGCTGGCTTCCTTACCGGTTTACGCACCATTGGCTAACACGCCGACATTCGCGGAGGTCCTTGCTGCAGTGTCGCAACTCAAGCGGGGTAAGGCTCATGGCCCGGATGGTATCCAACCGGAATTGCTTATGCACCTTGATCACGCTAACCTTCGGGTTCTTCACGAGTTTCTCTGTCGCATGTGGGAGGGCCTCGATCCTATGCCTGCCGAATGGAAATCCAATTACTTAGTTCCACTTCCCAAGTCCGGTGACGGTGCTTCCTGTGATGCGAGGTATCCTTCTGTCATCTGTTCCTGGCAAGATCTTCGGTCGTATTGTCAACGGTCGTCTTCACGAGTACTTCGAACGCCATAACGTGTTTCCTGATACGCAGTGCGGCTTTCGGGCAGGGCGTGGAACCACGGATATGATCTTCACTCTCCGTATGGCAATGGAATTGGCGCGTCTTAAGTCTCACCCGTTGTGGTTCCTATTTGTTGACCTTGCTAAGGCATACGACTCAGTATCTCGCGAGGGGCTGTGGGCGTTGCTCCTTCACAAGGGGGTCCCGTTGCACTTGGTCAACTTGATCCAGCAATACTACTCAGGGAAAGTGGCTCGTATTTCCGTCGAAGGAATTTTGTCCAAGGAAATCCCCTTGCACACAGGTCTGGGACAGGGTTGTTGTATGGCACCTACGCTGTTTAATGTCTTCCTGGCTGCGGTGATGGAGCACTGGACTGCGTCGGTCTCCAATGTGTTAAAATGGCCCTACCGGCTCGACGGGGTCCTTCGTCGCCACATGGATCCAGGTACCTTGCGCAAGTACTCGACATGGGAGACTCTAATGCTGCACGATTTAGGGTACGCGGATGATGCTGGATTTATTGCTGATACCTATGAACAACTCGCCTCCTGGGCCAGGGCTCTACAAGCTCACTACTCGACGTGGGGCTTGTCGCTCTCCGTTGCCAAAACTGAGGCCTTAACCACTGCGGCGGAAGGCGGTCGTGACCCCATCTCGATGGATGCTCCTGAGGGGGCTCCGTCGCAGATTCAATTTCTTTTCCAATATTTGGGTACCCAGATCAGTCAGGACGGAAGCTGCGTGTCGGATATTTCCCGTCGACTAGACTTGGCCCGCAAGGCCTTTTGGCAACTCACCGCCAACGTCTGGGATGTGGCCCAGCTGGCTCTTTCCACTAAGTTGCGCGTTTACCGGGCCTGCGTGTTGTCGGTCTTGCTTTACGGGGCCGAGACGTGGACTACGACCTTTACTTGTCGTCGTAAGCTTGAAAAGTTTCATATGCAATGCTTGCGTAAAATCGCTCACGTCTCCTTATGGGATCAAGAGCGCTGGTCTCTCCCGAACGCGCAGCTGCGGCAGTGTCTAGGCGTCCCCTCGGTGATGGATTTGGTCTCTCAGGCCCGCCTCCGTTGGCTGGGGCACGTTGCACGTATGGATTCCTCCCGCCTCCCTAAACGCATGATGTTTGCCTTCCTACCGGCCTCTGTTGGAGTCGCCCGCCCGGTGGGTCGGCGGCCGGGAAGTGGTTACAGGAAACATATGTCGAGGACTTGAGTCAGGCCCAAATTGCGCTCCCAACATGGATGCATCAGGCCCGTGCGGGCGACGGCCGCCCGTGGCGACAAATGGTTTACCAAGTTGCTCCGTGGCGCCACCCTCGGGCCCCCGGCCCTGGGGTTCAACCTCCCTCTGACGCATCTGACGTTCGCGCGCCGTCTCGCGTCCAGAAACGTTCCTTCACGCAAAAAACAGACGATCTCGCCGGGGCTTTGGAGTCGCTTCTCCCCGCCCAATCATGGCTGTACCGCGAGGCCTCTCTAGGCGGGCGGGCCACTCTCTGGAATATCCTACATGAGGAGCTCACATCCTCCCTCGGCTCGCATTGGGCCGCCCTGGAAACGTCTGACCTACTCGAACACCTTGATTCCCTACCGGAATGGGCCCCTTTCTTAACATCCGGTGAAGACCTCGTACTCTGTCATCTTCTTCTGGACTCCCTTCGCCGTGGGTCGACCCGTAGTTGCGTGCTCCGGTGCTTGGTGCTCGTGCCATGCCTGGTCGCGATCGCGAGCGTGAGCGTGACAACGCTGTCGGTCGATCTGAGTTCGACAGGCTGCAGAAGGGGCGTGACCAACTGGCAGCCCAACTTGAGCGCGTCGCCGCTGTGGCTGTCAGAGCCTCTTCTGATGCTGGTGACGCTCGGGCTGATCTGCAGCTGGTTTTCTTTCTGCAGGGACGCATCCACACCAAGGTCATGGAAACCCTTGCCAGTTACAACTCGGAATTACGAGGACCTCCTGGCGGCCACACTCGACCAAGGGGCGGGACAACCCACGGCCGTTCAGGCATTGGCTGCCCTCAAAGACTACCCGACCGGTCCGGCGGCTATCCACAGTGTCGGTCATCTGGGCAAACCTCGCGAAGATGCACCTTGGATTGCGCCGGTACAATTCACTGGTTCCAGCGTGGGCCGTCGCCTCCGTGAGCTGTGGGCCGATCCTCACTTGGGTTGTGTCTTCAGCAAAGGTCCTAACGGCTGGCCTGCCCGGGTTTCCCCCAAGCGGTCTGCCTCCGATGCCGCAGACGCCAGGCGGTCGCGAGCCCGACGGTAGTTCTGCTGCTCGGCCTATTCACTTGCCTTTTTGGTGCGTGCCGGTCTCGTCCGGGCGCTGGGGAGTGGTCTTGCCCACTACTCTCTTGGTGGTTCCGGTCTCGTCCGGGCCAACCTTGCTCTGCTGCTGCCGATCGCTCCGTGTTGCCGCCGCTGTTGTTGTCGTGCTGCCTCTGTCGCCCGCTGCCTCGTGTGCCATGCGCGTCTTGCCTTGCTTTGGCTCTCTCTGCGTTGATCTCCTCCCCGTTAGGTTTGGTTGCTTCCCGCCGCTGCTTATATCTTCTTGCGGTGTTTGGACTAGGTATCTGGGTTTTTAGCCCAGCCCGGTCGGTTGCTCCGTCATTTCCTCTCGCCTCTCCCCCCCCCTCGTTCGTTGGTACCTTCTGCTGTTGTTTTGGTCAGTTTTGACTCCTCGCATCGGTCCTTGTACAGCGCAAGCGTCCGAAAGTACTTTGGCCGGACTTTCGTCGTTTGTAAGGCTCCGATGACTGGAGGGTGGACTCTAACTCCTGAAGAGGAGACGAAGAGTCGTGCACGTCTGAATACCTGTGTCACAAGCAAGGACACAGCAAGGCTCAACTTTACAAATGATGTTCAATCCCCACACACGTCACATTGTTTGTGAAGTTTATAACACCCACCATAGCATCAAAAGGGGATATGATGAACAAACAGCTTGACATCCATGTGACAATAGATACTGTCAGAATACCGGTGTTTGACTTGATATTTGGAAAAGGTATGTTCATCACAAACATGATCGCAACTTCAGTTGAACATATGAATGACGCAGAAGTGATTGAATCGGAAAGTATGACTGTTAGACTGTATAAGTGTACTGAACCAAAGGGGCACACATTGTTCCAGAGAAAAAAGTAAACATGCATGGCCTTTTCTCTGACTTCCAATGTTTGTTTTTGCACTCATTATGGCTTCGGGTTCGTGCTTAGCTCGTTTTTGAGCTCGCAATAGATGCTATTATAGCTTTCTCCCCGGAGAGGTGCCTGTGTTCGCTTTGGAGCCTGGGCGCCGTGCCGCTGCAGGGTGCCACTGCCAGGCGTGTGGCCCCATGCGCTTTGGAGCTTGGGCGCTGGTGCCGTTGCACAGATGTGTGACCCTTTAGGGGGTCTGGGGGGCTGGCTAGGTAAAGTGGACGTATACTGCAAAAGCACACTGATGAGCCAACAATTCGAGAGCAAAATCATGGCAAGGAATATGTGGCTTCAGTTGAACATATGAAAGATGCAGAAGTGACTGACTCGGAAAGTATGACTGTTAGACCGTATAAGTGTATTGAATTGAACCAAAGGGGCACATTGCTCCAGAGAAAGAAGTAGACATCTATGGCATATTGAAGAGCAATCATAATTTTGCAGATGAGAGCATGCCTCCAAAAAACGAGAAGTGTACAAACCCAAACGGTACGAAACCGTTTTTCGACCGAACACAGAAAAAGGTCTCTGTGCAGCTGAACCTACAGGTTATGAGCCCAAGGTCCAAGTGGTAAGACCTGGTTTGAGGAGGTGGATCACCAGGCAGCCCCTGGACACCCGCCGCCATGTCGATGCAGCAGCGGCGAAGAAGACGGCATTGTGGAGAAGAAGAGGAAGCGCCGGCTGATGGCTCCGAGGAAGAGCTGCATAATGGGCCGGTGGGCGATCCTGGAGAGCTGGGACCTGGACTTCGAGAACGTTCGAAGACAGGAGTGGGAAGCAGCCTTCCTGCAAAGCGAGGAGGCAAAAGCGCCACAAACAAGCACTACCGGAACACCATCTCCAGGAGTTCGACAAGGTGAAGTTCCTCTGCAGGAAGGGCAAAGCGAATTGGTGGGAAAGAAATTGACCGCTGGCATTGGCTATTGGCTGACGGTCTTCCAGATGACAGTGTACCAGCTGATCAGGAGAACCTGCAGGCGGCGCTACGACCGGGAGAACATGAAGTACAAGGTCAGCGGGATGGAATGGGCGGAGGACAATCCCCGTTGATGATAACTCCACTACCTCATGGACAAGGACATGGGGGACCTCATGGCTTCGACCCGGCAATAGCCACGCAACAGCAGATGTTGAATCTGTTTGAAGCCCTCGACAATAAAACCGAGACCTACGTGATGAACTACGAGATCAAAAAGTTGGCTTTGAGACTCAGGTTAAGGCCCTGCAGCAGGAAATTGAAAGCCAAGCATTTCGAACCACGAGATGATCCTGTACCGACGATTTGAAGGCGCCAAGCAGGAAAGGGAGAAACTGTATGAGCTCACCCCCATCCAGCAGTTCGAAAAGATGCCGGGCCAGACCGCTCCCGGGCCTGTACGTGGAGCAAGAGGAAGAACGGCTTGTGAGCGATCAAGATCGGCTGGACCTTGGCCTGATGGGAAGGGTTGTGTTGGTATGGGATGAAAACCTATGTCATCGACGAACCCCAGGGTGGCCTCAACAACGACGGCGGCGCCTAGGGCAAGAATGCAGGGCATCGGTAAGGGCACGTCCAAAAAGGGAAGTGGATTTGAAGGGACTTCAGCGGCTTTAACGCGGGAGATCCCAATGGAGTCATGGACACAATGGCGAAGCTGGTGAACTACTTGGTCACGAAGGAGCAGACCTGAAGCGGCGAAGCCCGGGACCATGAGGAACTGTCGGATACGGCTCCGATTGATTTGGCAGACTGGCTCACGGTGATTGAACCAGCAATGACCGACCTCAGGAACTCATCTGGACAGTGGTGGGAGTCAAAGAATCACGATAGTGGTACAACCACTACATACAGTTGCGCCCGCTGCAAAGGACTACATGCACCATCGAGTCCTCAGCAGAGCTCAAGAAGACGAGATGGGCAAGAGTTGAGAAGGGGGGCCATCAACATGATGCTTGCAGCTGCGCCAACGACAGTCAAAGAGGAACTAGCGGCGACGCGTTCTATCAACCAGGTAGGGTGCATGAACGCTCCATCATCCTTCGACAACTCGAAGAGCCGGCAGAAGCAGGGTCTCCAAGTGAAGCTTGTCATGGACTGCGGCATTGGGCCTCGGACATAGGCCTGAATCTTCCAGACTTGGCCATCCTTCTCAAAGGGATCAACAGGTTGAGCAAGCAACAGCCAGAGCTTCAGTTCCGGCGCTCGTTGGTGAGGAGCACCCTGCAGCTGGACACGATTCCCACGGAGGAGACCGTGAGCATCTGTAAGTTGGAGCAGCCGGTGCACAAGGTGCGACCTACATCAACAACGACGAGGCCTACCAATCCCGGAGGAGCGACGCAACTGAAGTCGGTGCAGACTGAGAAGAAAGAATGGCGATGGCGCCGCTCCAACTGGAGGAAAGGGGACCTGCAAGCACTTCCTCACGCAGGCGGGACACCCAAGAGGACAGTCATGCAAGTGGGTGCGCCAGATGGAGGGCAACGACAGGCGATGCTTCACATGTGGCTCCACCCAGCACTTCGCCAAGGACTGCCCCAGAAAGGAAGGTCAGAAACAAAAGCCAAGTGGCGACGGAGGACCAAGTGGAGTGAAGCCTCGGATTCAGAATCTCAACGACAAGCAGTCTGTACGATGTCACCGCAGGCCACTTCTTCTCCTTCTACCAGCCATTGGGGGAGGCCTCAGCGGGAGGGTCGGAAGCTTTGCAGAGCGTGTTGGAGGAAGCCTAAAAGTTGCTCAAGGGCATGAGCGTGGCGGAGGATGATGACCGTGCACTCGACCTCACTGAGTCCTTGAGAAAGATCAATGCGTCCAAGGGCAAGACGGGGCCTGAGAGTGCAAACGAGCGGAGATGGCTTGCTTGACTCTGGAGCCTCTCATTCACCGAGGCCCCGACTACGCGGCGAAGATCTTCAGGACAATAAAGACTCTGGCGCGTCAATATGTGGATGTGGGCCCGATAGTGCCTGCTGGACGACTGGTCAGAGACTTGGGACGTCGCATTGAATGGTCTGATGATCAACGCTGATCCATCCAGTCAGGGGAAACCTCTAGGTTCGAACTGAAGCAGGGCGCCCACAGATGGACCATGAAACAGCCCTTGAACTCATTCGAGAGTTGGAGGAAGCGCGTTCTCGGACGGCCTTGCGATGTTACCGTTTTGGGGAGTCGCAGACTGATGTGAACTGGCTGGGTCGAGTGGTTCAGGAATGTCCGATCTTTGACAAGGTGCCGGACCGCGTTCGAGACCGACTGGCAGATACTCCTGCTCGAGACTTAGATCTGCTGGGAGTGAATAGGCGAATTCGGAAACGGTGGAAGAATGAAGGGGCGGTTGTTCATCTCTACGCTGGCAAGAAAGAAGGCTATGACCTGACTGTGAATTCAGCGAAACATGTGATCATGACACGCATTGCTGAGGATTGCTATGCATGGCTGGATCAACGCGGTGATCGGAGGACCGAACTGCAGGACTCGCAGCGAACTTGCCACCGGACCAGGGCCATCAACATCCTAAAAACGTCCATGGGGCCTGACGAGCTAGATGAAGTAGAAAGGGCCAAGTGCCACCTGGACGAGGATGGCGTGCGCGGGGATGGCGGCGAAACCTACCTCTTTGGCCTGAACATGGAGTTCACTGTGCCAGAAGACAGAGGGCCACTAAAGGCGTTCCTGAAGGCAAAACATCAGGTATCCAGCTCCGACCTGGCGAGATGGGTTCCAGATCACATCAACGATCCAGCGAAAGAGAGTGAGACATTAATTGAAGGCCCTGTTATGGCAAGAACACATTGCTCAAGGACACGTTCCCTTCAGAAGAGATTGCGCAGTAAAGGGCGGCGGCACAAGATCGCAAGGCATAGCTGCACCTTGCGTGTTGGCGTCGGACCTCACTGGACCTTTCGTCGTGGGTACGGACATTGATGGAGATCCTACTGGCCGGGGCGTATACGTGGCCGGTGATGGATGAAGCTCCTTGGGATGATCTGGAGGAAATGGACGCACAACCAGATTGGCCAGCGCTCGACGACGAAGATGGCCTCGCCTATATCGGCCAACATCCGACGAAGCGGAGGATCAGGA